GGTGTCCCTGCCCACGGCAGGGGGTGGAACTGGATGGGATTTAATGTCCCTTTCAACCCAGACCACTCTGCGATTCCATGATCAGCCCCCACTTCTCCTCTCCTGTGATTCCAGCCTTTGATGCCCAGGAGTTCACATTGCAATAGGAAAACTGCCCCAAAAAAGCTCAGAAAACCCCAACACAAGTTGTTTCCCCATGACTGGAGATTCTTTCCTCCCACAGCACACCAGGCACCAGCTGGGAACAATGTGGGACAGGGCACAGTCCCAGGAAGCAGGACAGCAATGGTCACCCCTGCTCCGGGGCCCATGGCACACCAGGGACTGCTTTACCCACGTGTGGAACAGTGCCCAGCACAAAGAGGGACCTTGGGCACCCACCAGGGCACTGCCCTGAGGAAGCTCCTCACCTCCTGCACCTTGAGGTGTGTTTGTTGTCCAGAGGAAGAGCAGGAAAACTGACATCCCACTGGCCATCATCTTTGGGTGGCGGATGGGCACAGCCAGGCATCAGCACACCAGCCTTGGCACCATTTCACAGGAGCTAAAAATGAGCACAAGCCAAGGGTTAAACGCCCAACCCATGGATCACGATCTATCCCCATGATCAAAGCAGTGACACTGCTGCCTTGCAGGGATAGACTCTTCTTTTCTTGCAGGAAAATGCTTCTTGTGAGACCTAAATTTAATATAGGTACGCAGAGCACATTTCATCTTGCTCCCTTTGCCAGCCCTCTCTGAAAAGCTGCTGCTTTCAAACCTTCATGTGGGGATGTTCAGGGCACCCGTGGAATTAGAGCATTTCTCCATGGAAGGTGAGTCAGGTTCGTGTAGACTGGCTTTGGGGAGAGTCCCATTTCCTCCAAGAACAGAAATAACCATATTTTAGCTCCCACTCTATATAAAATAGCTGCTTACTGGGATTTACTGTCTAGTTACTCCTCCAATAAAGCTTTCTAAAGACACAGTCACTGCTCACCTCAAGGCTAATTCTCCACTGTTAATTATTGGGTGTAAGAGAAACTGCTTTGTTCCTTTGTTCATTTCGGATTTCAATGAACAACAATTTTTAATGCTTAAACCCAGCATTTTCCAATGGATTGTTTCATGAATTACTGGGAGGAAAAAAAAAAAAAAAAAAAAACCAAAAAAAACCCCCAAAACTCTGTGTAATCATTCATGTATAACCTAATATAAAAATGGGCATTCAGAACAGCAGCTTTCCAAAATGTTCTTACTGAAGAGAAATGCACCCCCCCAGCCCAATCTCAGCACCTCCCTGGGGCACTACAGCAATTGCTCACATGGAAAACATAATATTTTCCAATGGTAATGAGCAGGAATAACCCAGGGACTGGAAGCACTCCCACTGATCACAGTTGGAATAATTCTGCTGTACAGTAACTATTTTTCAAAACGCAGTCTGAGTGCTGAGTTCATTAAAATGACACATCATCTACAGTAGAGTGTGTTTTTAATGTCCAAGTCCCCTCATTATCTATATTCACATTTTGTGCCTCTCTGCTTTCCTGACAGCCCAAATGTGCACATGGCCAGCTGAAACTCAGGAGTTTGCTAATGGATTATTCCTGGGGAGCCAGGGTTTGATTTTGTGTACGTTGGGTTACGGAATGACATCTTGGCCAGGCATTTTGGTTTTCCCGAAATGTAGCAAGTCACAGACAATGGGACAAATATTCTTTATAGCACACATTTATGCCTGCACAAATTACTGTCATCAGGCTTTCTTTGCTGCTTCCTTTAATTTACCTGATGAGACTAGTAAATACTCTAATACTTTTTTCTCCATTTAGAAGTAAAAATTCATTATGCTCACATCCTTGAAAATAAAGAAAACAACTTTGGGAAAGAAGCTTCATTAGTTTCATTGCTGAGAGTATTCACTCATTTTTTTTTTCCTAAAAAACCAGCAATAACCACAGTACCTTATTTAAAAAAAAAAAAAAATCTTTTAAAAGCCTCATGTTTTGCAAGTGCTTAGCATTCACATCTACTTGAATAATGTCTGTGTATTGGTTTCAGGCATTATCATAACTACAACAGCTGACTCTCCCTTGTGTTTATTTAAAGTGGGTTTGGCTACCTGTGGATTTTTTTTAAATTTATCCACAAAAAGTTAAGGATTCTGATTTTCTTTTCCCTATACTTTCAAAAAGATCCTAAAGATTTTTTTTTCCTAGAAGTATTTGCATGTATTAGATCTTACATTTTCTGTGTAGCATGTTACTGAACTGAAACTGGATATAAAATGTTACTGTAATTCAGATGAGTCCTAAATTATTATCCTGTTCTTTTCAGTTTATTTTTTCTTGCTGTGTTTTCCAAAATGCTATTTGTCTTTTTCTTGCTGCCAGACTAAGATTGAAAGCCCAGCTTTTGGAAGGTGAATTTCTGCAGCTGTGTAATACCACAGCCCCTGAGAACAAACTGCAGTCTGTGATACTCTGCTTCAAGGGAGAAATTGCTGAAAAGAGAATCAAAATAAGTGCATGCAAGTAAAGATTGTAACTAGAAGGCTACAGGAGGGTTGTGCTCCTCACAAAAATGGATATGGTAAGTTTTCAGGACAAAGTTTTGATTATGTTTTGGTTATATAAGTAATAAGCAGAGAGTAAAGGGGATATTCCCTTTGTGCAAGGAATATATTCCTTTTAGAAGGACAGTAGAAATCCAAAGCACAAAAAACAGCCTCCTAAAAGTAATGACTTTCTCCCCTAACAGATGATGTGTCCCAATACCTCACAAGCAACAAAGAAGCAGCAGATTCCAGGTGCTTTTCCCAGTGCAAACTGACTTTAAAAAGCAGGACCTTTGCAGTTCAGAAGCACGCACAAGGCAGAGCCAAAGCTCACCAGACACCCCGGGAGGTTACCTGGGCATCTCAGAGTCCTGTCAAGAGTTGGGTCTGTCTGTTCCCCGTCCCCTGGGTGCTCTCCCTGCGGGTTTCTTTTATAACTGCTGCCTTCCAAGTCCCAGCAGAGCTGGCACCTCAGAGGAGATGGCAGAGGACAAGCGAGATAAGCACGCCTCGAAAAAGGGAACTGTGTTCATTAAAATGACACATCATCTACAGTAGAGTGTGTTTTTAATGTCCAAGTCCCCTCATTATCTATATTCACATTTTGTGCCTCTCTGCTTCCATGGGGTGGAAGGCTCCATACAGGCACGGTCCAGCCCAGAAATGGAGTTATTTTATTTACTGAGCATTAATTATATACAGTGGTCTGAGTTCTCTGATGACTTTTCAAGAGCAGGAATGTGATGACTGACTGCAAGGAAATAATCTACAGCCACGCTGCTGATATCCCAATGTGTTCTTCCCCTAGAAAATCAAACCCAAACATTGCTGGGAAATTGTGCATGTTTTATCCAGGTTTTTTTATGCCATCTTGTCCAAAGCTCTGGCCATACAGCCATGCAGCATTTTGGGAAGTTACCGGTACCAGAGCAAAACCAGCTTCCTAATATTGTGCTGAGAGCTTTGAGCTGAGATCCGTAGGGTTGGATAACTTCTGCATTGCCCAGAGAAGCTGTGGATGCCCCATCCCTGGAAGCGTTCAGGGTTGGAGGGGCTCGTGGAAGGCGTCCCTGCCCATGGCAGGTGGTTGGAACAAGGTGATCTTTAAGGTTCCTTCCAGCCCAGCCCATTCCATGACTTTGTGATGGTATTGCAGGCTCACAAACAGGAGAGGGAACAGAATCCAGCCCAAGGGAAACCCTGCAGAAAGTGGGGCTGTATGTGATGGAGTTATAGGAAGGATGAGAAGAAGGCTAATGACTCACCCTCATTAACAACCTGGCATCCAAGTTATTAATGTGCAGGTGACACAAGCTTGGAGGGGCGAGTGCTTTGGGGCTCAGGACACAATTAAAGCTCCTGCCAAATTGGTGAAAATGGGTGTAATTCAATGTGGACAAGATCTCAACTGCATTTAGACATTGTCAAGTGCACATTAATAGCTGTAAATAATCAATTATCACTCATATCACTGATATCTGCTCCATAGAACAGGATGGGGTTTTGGGTCAGGAGGAATTCCCATCCCTGGGGTGATTTAAAGCTCTGTGGATGTGGCACTTTGGGACAGGGTTTGGTGGTGAGCCTGGCAGTGCTGAGGAGCAGCTGGACTTGACGATTTCAGAGGGCTTTTCCAAAATGATGACTTTGTAATTTCAATGATTCAAACATTTAAATGCTACCAAATTCCTTCTCACTGGGGCAAGAAGAAACTCATGAATTCCATCCCAGTTATTTTGCCATTACCAAACTATGTATTTTCCTTCCTGCTACAAGTCATTTTCCCATTGTAACTCTTTTTCTCTAACTGAGACAAAGCCACGGTAAATATTTTAGGTCTTTTATTGAGTGCTGTGTCCAGTTCTGTCCCCTCAATTTGGGAAGGACGTTGAGGGGCTGGAGCTCATCCAGAGGAGACAACGAGGCTGGAGAGGGGCTGGGAACACAAACCCTGAGAGGAAGCCCTGAGGGAGCTGGGGGTGCTCACCTGGAGAAAAGGAGACTCAGGGGTGCCCCATCACCCTGCACAGCTCCTGAAAGGTGCCTGTGCTCAGCTGGGCTGGGCTCTGTCTGCAGGGACTGACACAGCCAGAGCACACAGCCTGCAGCTGTGCCAAGGGAAATTCAGGCTGGATATCAGGAAAAGGGTTTTTTTCAGAAAGGTGATAAAGTTCTAGAATGGCTGCCTGGGTGGTGGTGCAGTCACCATCCCTGGGGGTGTTTAACAAAGCCTGGATGTGGCACTGGGGGCCAGGGTTTAGCTGAGGTGCTGGGGCTGGGTTGGACTCCATGACCCTGACGGTTTCTTCCAACTCTGTGCTTCTGTGATTCCGTGAGGTTTTTATGAATCTCTGCCGGCTGAGCGCAGGCGGGGCGCTCCCGCTGAGGGAGCGGGGGCGGAGCGGGGCCCGGCCCGGCCCCGGGGCGGTGCCGCTCCCCGGCGGTGCCGCCTCACCGAGCCCGGCCCCGGGGCGGTGCCGCTCCGCGATCCGGCGCCGCTCTGAGCTCATCGCCCGGCGCCGCCGATGCGGGAGCTGGGCCCCGGTGAGTGAGCGAGGGGCGGCCGTGGCCGCGGATGTGGGCTGAGCTCTGGCTTGTGCCCCGCAGGGCCGGGCTGCGGCTGCTGCGGCGGCGGCACGGCGGGAGCGGCACCGGCGCCATGAGGCTGCAGGCGCCGCAGTTCCAGGCGCTCTTCACGCCGGGGCTGCGCAGCGTGGCCGGTGAGTGCGGGGAGGAGGCCCCGAAAATGTCCCTGAACGCGGCCCCGGGGTGCTTCGGGTTGGGAAGGACCTTAAAGCCCATCCATCCCACCCCTGCCATGGCAGGGACACCTCCCACTGTCCCAGGTGCTCCAGCCCCAGTGTCCAGCCTGGCCTTGGGCACTGCCAGGGATCCGGGGCAGCCCCAGCTGCTCTGGGAATTCCATCCCAGCCCCTCCCCATCCTCCCAGGGAAACCTCACTCCTGAACCTACCCTCCTCACCTTATTGCCTTTCCCCCTTGCCCTGTTGCTCCGTGTCCTGGTAAAAAGAGCATTTTTCTGCTCCCAGGGCCTTCTTCAGGCTGAACACCCTCAGCCAGTCTCCAGGCACAGGACAGATCTCGTGTTTCCCTTTGTAGGCCTATTCCATGATGCTCTGTTGTTCCTAGAGAAATTTAGGCTCATGGCTCACTGTTCTCTGCTGTAAATAATCTGAATTCTTTTCCCTTGTCAGCCCCTGACTGTTCAAAATGATCCCCAGCCCAGGGTCCCCAGGACCAATTAGAGACCTGCCGATAGTTAAGTTTTAAAAAAAATTTAAGAAAAATAAATCAGAATGACAGGGAACATACCTGTGGGTGCTCAGCTGTGCCACAAATTAGTGCATTTTGCATGAAGCTGTGAGTTATTTGCCGGTTTCTGCATATTTGAGTGTTTATTCCTACATCTATGATCTTAGTTTAGTGAGAAGGCAGGTTCTGGCTGATTGTGCTGTGGGTTTATTGCTGTTTGGTTTTCCTTCCCTTCCCAGAACTGTTTGAGAAGAAGAACTATGAGCTGAGGATAGCAGGAGGGGCTGTGAGGGATTTACTGAGCGGAGTGACACCACAAGACATCGATTTTGCCACCACAGCCACACCAGCAGAGATGAAGGAAATGTTCACAGCAGCTGGGGTTCGTCTGATCAATAACAAAGGAGAAAAACACGGAACCATCACTGCCAGGGTTGGTTTGGATCTTTTCTACCCGTCTGTGGATGTCCAGTAGAAAATTTGCTCCTTATTTGTTCAAGTATCACAGCAAGAGTTTAAATGAGACCCTGCTTTAAAGCCTGGAGTGATTTTTTTTGATTATTCATTGTAGAATTCAAGTAATTATCATATTTTAATGCAAGTAACCCGTTCATGCTGCTGTGTCATCACCAGAAAAAATAATGTTGGCTGCTCACGCATGATCCTAATGTTTCCTGCTCCTGATTTCCTCTACCTTGCTCTTAGTCCATCTCCTGCAGGAAGATTTCTGCATGCTGTGTAGAAAATAAATAATGTCAAGCTTATTTTCAGAAGTTTCTATTTCTCAGCTCTGTATGCAAACCCTGCACACTTTGCTGTGCACGTGTCCGCCCGCTGGACACAAACACAGGGCTAAAAAAATGAGCAGCTTTCGCATTTAATTTAATTTCATGTCATGGCAAGTCAAGGCTGTGTTGAAGTAACGCTGTCTGTGGGATTTGCAGCTCCATGAACAGAATTTTGAGATCACCACTCTCCGAATAGACGTTGTCACCGACGGGCGGCACGCAGAGGTGGAGTTCACCACGGACTGGCACAAGGATGCTGAGAGGAGGGACCTCACTGTCAACTCCATGTTTTTAGGTAAATTTGAAAAACACTTACATGGGTGAAGCAGTGGATTTGAGTTTTGTCGCTGAGTTCTGTCGCTGTGTCAAAAGTCTGTACAAATAAATGAGATGATCTGGCAGACCAGCTCAAACCACACAACTTCTCGTTTCCAAATGAGAGTGGTTCATTGTGCCAGCCACATTTGGAAATTGATATTCTGGTTTTTCATTGTTTTCTAGGTTTGGATGGGACACTCTATGATTTCTTTAATGGCTATGAAGACTTGAAAAACAAGAAAATCAGATTTGTGGGGAAGGCAGCTGAGAGAATACAAGAAGATTATTTAAGAATCCTGAGATACTTCAGGTAAGTGGTTTTGCCTTTCCTTGATAAATAAACTGTATAAAGTTTCAAAAACAAAAAGATACCAGTGATGTAAAAAGAGTTGTAATTGTCATATTTCCTTTCCAACCTCAATGATTTTATGATTATAAGTGGAATAAGTTGTATAATTGTAAGAATTATTTTTGTTTTTATTTTGTTTTAATTGTTTTTAATTATTCTTACAGTTGTAAGTGTTCTAAACTAACATCCAGGGGTTTTATTTGGCAGATTTTATGGAAGAATTGCAGAGAAACCTGGAGATCATGAACCTATTACACTGCAAGCAATTAAAGAAAATGCCAAAGGCTTGGCTGGAATATCAGGAGAAAGGATTTGGGTGGAACTAAAAAAAATTCTTCTTGGAAACCATGTCAATCATTTGGTTCAGCTTATGTATGAGCTGGATATTACCCAGTACATAGGTAAAGTGAAATGAAGTTTGATTTCCTATTCCTGTATCTTATACAGAAAGAATTTTGTGCCAAATGAGATCCAACTTGGCTTTACACAGAAATCAGATTTTATTTGTATCCTGTGCTAACACCTACTTTTCTTGTTAATACTTCTTTGCACTTTTTGTGTGTTTTTAGGGCTACCACTTGATGGAAATTTAGAGGAATTTGCCAGAGTCAGTAAAAACATCCAAAATCTGTCTCCAAAACCCATGACTGTCCTGACGTCCTTGTTCAAGGGGAAGGATGATGTCACAAACCTGGACCTGAGGCTGAAAATCTCCAAGGAAGAAAAGAACCTTGGCCTTTTCTTGGTGAAGCACAGGCAGGAGTTAACCAAAGGCTCAGGGCCAGAACCACTTAGACCATACCAGGACTTCCTGATGGATGTGAGTGGAGTTCAGACTGCTCCATCTGGGGCTTCACAGGGAGCTGAATTCATTGTGAGACATTCCTCAGAAACAAACCTGCTGTGTTGTAGCAGTTCTGAGCACCCTGTGCTCTGGAATTGCTCTGGAGCAAGATACCAGGACTTCCTGATGGATGTGAGTGGAGTTCAGACTGCTCCATCTGGGGCTTCACAGGGAGCTGAATTCATTGTGAGACATTCCTCAGAAACAAACCTGCTGTGTTGTAGCAGTTCTGAGCACCCTGTGCTCTGGAGCAATTTTTGGACTGATTTAAAAGTCAGTCAGGGTGAAAAATGTCACATTCAGTTTCTTGTGACCTTACCTGGGACTGGCAGTTTGCTGTGCTGTCCTGCTGAAATATGAAACAGGAGCTGGACCTCAAGGAGAATTTGGCTTTTTTCTGTGAAATTCAGCTCTGAATTGTGAATGGAAAATCAGTGCAATTCCTGGTGTTCTTCCCAAGGCAATTTTTAGGTGATTTTGAGGCAAATTTTTTGCATGATTTTTGGGATTTTTATGGTGATTTTTTAGGTGATTTTGGGTGATTTTTGGCATGATTTTTGGGGTTTTTATGGTGATTTTTTAGGTGATTTGGGGTGATTTTTGGCATGATTTTTGGGGTTTTTATGGTGATTTTTGGGAGTGATTTTGGGGATTTTTACAGTCATTTTGAGGCGATTTTTAGGTGATTTTGAGGTGAATTTTTAGGTGATTTGGGGGATTTTTGGGGTGATTTTTGGGATTTTTGTGGTGATTTTTGGAGTGATTTTGGGTGATGTTCCTTAGGCAACCTGGGATGTTCTTCCACAGCACAGTGAGGTCATTTCCAGCTGCATTCTGCTGATACTGAGGGCAAGGACCAGTCCTCAGGGCCAGGCCTGTCTCCCTCAGGAAAGGTGATGGATAAGGGATCACAGCTATTACCTGGGATTCAGGGAGTCTCCAAGGATCTCCCAGAGCCTGCAAGACTCAGTTTTAACACCTGTGAGGCAGGAGAGAGCCTTGCTCCCATAATCCCAGCTTGGCCAAGGTCTTACCTAACGAGGAGCAATGGGAATAGCACAATGCTGAGCACACTTGGAGCTGGTTCTGCTGTTTCATACTGAAGCCTCTCTTTTTTCCTTTTTTCTCCTAGTCTAGGGAAGCTAACACCAACTCCAAGATCTTTGAGCTCCTGAAGTACCAAGGAGAGGAGCAGCTTTTGAAAGAAATGCAGGAATGGACTGTGCCCTCCTTCCCTGTCAGTGGGCACGATCTCAGGAAGATGGGGGTGTCCTCTGGGAAGGAGATTGGGACAGCACTGCAGCAGCTGAGGGATGAGTGGAAAAAGAGTGGGTACCACATGGATAAAGAGGAACTGCTGAGCTGCCTGAAGAAGCTGTAAAGTGAATAATAACAGAACTGTTTGTGCCCTGATCTGAGTGGAACTGAGCTCCCAGGAAACTGAGCCTCTCACAGCCAACTGGGCATCTGTCACATTTAACATTTTCGTTACTAATTCCTAACTTCTGCAAGGAGAGGTTTCATTTTGTAATAATGTAAAACACTGTTTGCCAAATCTCACCTTCTCAACCTCTCTTTGCTATTAGTGATAAATATTTACTATTTTATCATGACTTAGGGCACGAGAGGTGACAGCAAGATTTTTTTCCTTCTGACTGTCTATATCAAAAAAAAAACAAAATCCCCCAAAAAGGTTGTTTGCATCCTCTAGATAAAATCATGGAGGGGTTTTTATGTGCCTAGGAGAATGTGTGGAAATAATGGGCTCTACCTTAACTCTTTTTGTACTTAAAGCTGGATAACAGATGGAAAAACTCACTCCAGCAGTTCCCAACAGCCTTGCCATGGAAAACCAGGCTGTTTTCTAGGACTGTTTTTATTTTCCAGAATTAGTTTTAGGTTAAAGGGATGATTTGGCTGAGTGAGTATCATGAATTTTCAGTAGTTTTTCAGTAACTTATCACTGAGTAAACTAAATCCACAGCAAGCTGGTGAAGGTTCTACATTGTATTTTCAACTTCAGGTGTGAGACAAACTATTAATGTTAATTAACAGGAACAAGGGGAGATCTAGCTCCTTGTCTTGGGGATTTGGGAATTGGGAGCAGAGCTATTCCTGAGCTTTATGAATGTCTTCCTATCCCTGGGGTTTTTGGTGTGCTGTTAAAAAGTCTCTTGGAGCAGCTCTTGTGTGTATAAATCTTATTGCAGGTTGAACTTTTCCTACACAACCATGGTAACAAATAAAATCCTTTGGATTTCACTTTCCTTGGATATCATTTTGCAACACTAGATGGCAACATTGGAGCAGTGCTGGAAAAAAATCAGCATTTTGGGCTTTCACACAGCTTCCCAGCTGCCTTTGATTTTCCTGGAATGTCTGGTCCTTCAAGTAAATTCTCCTGAAGGTGCCTGGGAATTTGTGGGAGCCAGGGAGTGAAGAGGGAAAGTGCTGTTTGTTAGTAAGGCAAATCTCACAAGAACAGGATGGTGCTTAATTTAATGAGGTGATTGATTAAATTAAAGCCTCTTCTGTGTAATTTCTGGAACTACTGAAATCTTGGGAGGGTGTGACAAAACTCAGGGCTGTAGGGAGTCCTTTCAAGATTTCACCAAAGTGCAGCTTTAGGGCTGTGGCTGTGGAGATGGAAAATATGAACACTTTTACCCAACATTGCTGTCAGGGTCCTACTCCCTGTGGAGAGAGGATTTTAAAGGAAATCTTGAAATTTATGATCCTGGCATGGACCAAATAGATACTCTGGACAAAGTTTAGCAGGGAGGTCTTCCCATGAGTGCTGAGCTTCAATTCCAGCTGTTTGCCAGCCCTGAGAGGGGCTGGGTGTGCCTGGCTCCAATCCTGCTCCCAGATTTAATCACTGCTTTATGGCTAAAGGATTTTCAGATCCCAGGGAAGCTTTGCACAACTTTGTCCCCCAGGATTAAGGATGACAACCCAAATCATGCATATGAACAGCAAGGAATGATTTATTTAAATTGATGCTGGGAATGATTAGCCTGAAAAGACACTAATCAGAATTATTTACTACACAGTATAGATGCTGTAGAGTGCACTATTAAATCAATCATTTCAAAGCCAGTTTAATTCTTAGTAAATAGAAACTGATGGGTTTAATTGGAGATTATTTGGCCAAGCTGGTCACTAAAAGCAGGGGGAAGCCCATTTCCTCCATCCCTCACTGATAACACAGAGGATCCTGTTACAAAACAGCAAAACCAGATTATTTCTCAAGTACCTTCATAACAGCCCTGCTTGGAATTCAGTGCAGGGAGCACCTGTGTTCCAACACCTCTTAAAGATCAGCCCCTGCTTGAGGTTTCCCATTGGTCTATTGAGCATTTCTGTTTATCTTCAAGAAACATTAACCCCTAGGAAAATGAAAGACATGAAATAAAAAAATATTCATGTATTTTAGGCAAGCAGTGCCAGCTTGAGATCTGCAAAAATGCTGGGTTTAAATAAACTCTCCTTTTTAGAGTATGAGCTATTTAAATAGCAAATGGGGAGAAAGGAGATGAAGTTTGATACACACATGGTCAAAGAAGTTCTGCAAGAGATTATTTGACTAATTAAATGATACAGTGGTTTTAATTACCTGACAACCTCCCCTCTCTCCATGTTATTCCTTATCTTCTCTGCCCTGGGCCAGTCAAGCAAGCACATACTTGGAAGTGAAACTTTCACTTTTTGCAGCCAAAAACTCATCATAAACTCAAATGTTTCCTTTTCCCACCCCGACAATCAGCAAAACCAAGTGAGTTTTGAAACAAATTGAATTTTATTCTTTGCAAATATTTGCAAGCCACAAGATTTGTCAGAAAATTTGTCCCAAAAGGCAGAGAGAAGGAAGAGTTAAAGCAGAGACTGGGCTACCCCTGGAGCAGTTCACAGAGCAATTAAAGGTGACAAAGAGAGGAACAAATGAACTGCAACACATCCAAAAAGAGCATTAATAAAAAACAAATGAGTATCTGAAATATTTTAAACCCAGTGTACAAGTGATTCTACCTATTTGTCAAAATGAACCTAAAATAAATGAAAACTTGCAAGTTACAGGCTGTGATTGGGGTGTTGGTGATGCTGCAGTGATGGCTTGCCAATGAGTGAGTGCTGTAAATCCTGTCATCCCTCAGTCGTGCCCACTGGGGTAATTAATTCCTGCAGGAAGTAACTCAGCCAATCAAGGGGGTAAATGTAAATATTCATCAAATCTGGTTTCCTTTGATTCTCTGAGCAGTTGCTGTCTGTGTTTTTCCATAACGATGCTGCAAATTTTCCCCTAATTCCCACCAACAGTTTTCTCTCCAAAACAGAGAAAAGCATGGAAAATATGAAGCAGTGTAAGGAACCATCCCCAACTCACACCCTGGAGTGCTGGATGCTCCCAGGAAGGACTGGATTCACCACCACAGGACTCAACCTGGGAAGTGTCATGGACTCAATATAGCAAACACTGCACACATTTAGCACATGGAACAGCATCATCAACAATGAAATTTAATTAGTGTTAATTTACTCCTGACTTACCTCGATTATGTTAGTTTACATTTGACTATACACACAAAACACCAAAAAAAATGCTTATTCTGGATTCAAACACTGCCATTTTTAATTGAGAATCCAAAAGACACGGCCAAAACCCCGAAGAACTGAACCTTTACAAGTTCAGTGACAGCTGAGAAAATCCTTTTGAAATTGCCCTTGCCAGCCCCCAGTGAATGCTCACACCAAGGCAGCAGAAGGTGCTGGCAGCACCCTCCAACTTCTTGCCACCACCAAGCCCCACTGAGGGCCACAGGAGCAACAGACAGGAGGGACTTTGAGGGGAAAAAAAAAGAAAAAACCAAATATCCAGCCCAGATGTGTTGGGTGAGGGAAAGCCAGGCCTGGTTCCAGTGGATTCACAAACACAGAGCATCCAGTCTCCCTCTCACACCAGTGCCTGGCTTTCCAAGCTTATAATGAATCATTATCAACACCCAGAGTGTTTTCTGGATGACAATAAGCCATCATCACCCTTTGTTTGCTCAGAGCCACATCCCAAATATTGCTTTTCACAGTTCACTGCCACGCCAGGGCACTGCACGTGGAACTGAGCATGGAATTAAAGGTGTCTAAGAAGAACAGAAGCAGCACAGAGGTAGAAAGTTTCAAAGAACTAAACCTGAGTTACACAATTAAACTCCACATACCTGGCATGACAAATACCCAGCAGCAATCCATGGTTTGGGGTGTTTTTCCAGCTGGAGGTACCACACTGCCATGGGAATCAGCTCCTGGTGTGCCAGGCTTGGCCTTGGCCCTCAGCTGAAGTGATCTGTCCTTGCTACACCTGCCTGGAGCCTGACAGAGAACAAGCAACCAGTGCCTCATGTCTTAGACTTGACTAATTTAACATCACTGTGAAGAAATAGAGAGTGAATGATAAAAGCTTCACAAGAAAAAAAAGTGTTTATGTGCACAAGCACTAAAAAAATCTCCATTGCCATCACCAAAGTGCATTCTGAGAGGAAAAAAAACAATAAATCAGTGGCAAAAACTGCCCCAGACTGGCACCCAATTTGTGGAGCACAGACAAAATAAAGACCAAACCAAAAAAAAGAAACCTCCCCAGAAAAAAGCACTGCCTGTATTCCTATTTTATTTGGAAACTTTTGCTCTGTATAAGGTGATAACGTGAAATTTTACTTTATGATCTTAAAGGTACAATGTAATAATTAAAAGACATTTTTCCTTCCCTTTGTCACAAGAAGTACTATTTAAAAATCACCTCAGTGGGGTGTTAGAGAGTCTGTCCCAAACCCTTGGACACCTCCACTGGTAAATTAACCAGGAATAATTTGGGGAAGTGATTGAAGCACACTGAAAAGAACATGACAATGCTGTTTACCCTCTGTCCTGTGCACTTCCTATCAACAGTTTAAAATTTAAGACTTCTAAAGTCAAATGGACTAAACAGATGAGACAGCTTGTAAGGAACAGACACTTCCCCATGGGGTCCATCCTGGGAGGCAGCTGCAATTCCAGCTTCTGCACATTCCAGCACTCAGAAACGCTCAGGCTGCTTCTCTCTTCCACAGTTATTCAGCAAAAAGCTGAGAAACAGCACAAGCAGCAAACCTGAAGGACTTAGAGAGTGAGAAACAGGGATTCTCAGCAAACCACGTGTAAGTGTGTTATGGCCAACACTCCACAGCAGGTGGCTGCTATCTACCATCCCAGGAATACTGCAGCAATCAGACTCTGCTTATTGGGATTTTAGTTTGGTTTTAGTTTCCATCCCCCTTCCTTCACTGCGAGTGGGAATTACACAAGTCCAGTCCTGGTGTCCCACGTGGACCTTCACTCCTGGTGTCTCCTGGCACCCCCTCTGCAGGAACAGCACGGGGAGCTGGGTGAGCCTGGCTCCCTGGGGTGCCGGCGTGGCTCCCGGGGTTCCTGGCTGAGGAAGCAGGAGCGGCACTGAGCGGGATCCCCGGGGTGTCACAGGCACAGCAGCGGCGAGCGGCCGCGCTCCGAGTCCTCGGCGTCCTCGGGCATGCGGGGCAGCAGCGCCGAGCGCGTCAGCCCCCAGAACCTGGGAGGGGACAGCTCCTTCCTGGTGGCCGTGAACTTCCAGCCCATGTGGCTCCCGCAGATCCTGCACTGAGCGATGGTCCAGGCGTACCTGCCCAGGGCACAGCAAAGCCAGCGTGAGGGAAAAGCCTTTGGAAATGCTTCAGCAGGCAACGAGCCCCAGCTGGGCTTGGGTGACAATCCCAAAGTGGGCTTGGGTGACAATCCCACAGTGGATTTGGGTAACAACCCCCAGCTGGGTTTGGGTGACAATTCCAAAGTGGGTTTGGGTGACAATCCCACAGTGGATTTGGGTGGCAACCCCTAGCTGGATTTGGGTGACAATCCCAAAGTGGGTTTGGGTGACAACCCCTAGCTGGATTTGGGTGACAATTCCAAAGTGGGTTTGGGTGACAACTCCTCTTGGTAAACAGTGTTCAGACCACATTCCACAGCTATCAGATAGTTAATCGTTTACATTTCTTTTCTGAGGCTTCTCAGCTAGAATGGGAGAAAAATCCTAGCAAAGGATTTTTCATAAAATACCATAGCTACAAACCCCCAGCTGGGTTTGGGTGACAATCCCCAGCTGGGTTTGGGTGACAATCCCCAGCTGGGTTTCCAAAGAATCCTCAGGAATCCAGTGCCCAGTTCCCATCTAAAACCCTGCAGAGCTTCAAAAAATG